CAGCCGAAGGTCTCGGGCTAATTTCGTAATACGGGGATTTGTAACCGCCGCTGGAAATTCATTAACGTCCGATAACCGAGCCGATTGAGATATCGCGGAGGGTTTCCTCGTTAACGATCGCTCCCCCGACCGGAGCCATAGGTCAACCCGTTTTTCTCCGCGATAATCGCGCTTATTCAATTTCCCCGAGCTTTCACCCTTGTATTTTCTTATTTATTGGATTCTATAGTTTTCTCTGGGAATCGTTTCGCCATCTATGCACCGTACGTGTGTCGTTTTCATCGTGAAGACAGAGAATCCTGCTTTCAACCCCTCGCTTCTGTCGTTTGGGTGAAGGACGATTGATTCTACCGTGACTTTCATTGGATAGATCGAAGTTTTATTTAATATAGACGAAGGTTCTTAGAAATATATACAAATCCTTCGACAGATAAAATTAAATTATCTATCGATCGCTTAATCAATAGGAAAAGGGAAACTACGTGCTAGTCTCTAGATGTTCAAGTAATTAAATCACTCGTCGACTTAGTCTTCCAAATATGAACATTTCGGCGAGACGAAATGTCGACATCGGTAAATACCTATACTGGCAAGTTACAAACAAGTAATTTAAATCACTAAATAACAAAACAACGATCTTAACTTTGTTTGCAGTATTTGCAGTATTTGAAATTTTCACGTATAATTTAGCTTCTTAGAGAAAGCATCTTCAGTATTCTCAAAAATCTTCGTCCGCAAAGGGTTAACACGTTGAATGCCATAGAGGTCACCGGTGACACCCAACCAAATTGAATTACTATAGTTCACTTGATTAAACAATAGTTGTTTGAAGATATTTTTATATTATAGACAATGCTATCTGATTTATTCAATTTTTTATTGCAAAATGACGAACGACATTAAATAATTAATCAACTTAAACTTCTGTACACACAGGCGTTTACGTTCAACGTCATTGTAACTTCAAAGTTACAAAATATATTTGTTTTAATAAAATTATTAAAACTATTGAATACATTGTTAATTTGTGTTCATATGTTGATATGAGGATTAAATGATTTAATAGTGTGTTCTTTCCATTTTGTGTATTTTGCTCTATAAAATCGTGTTTTCAACGTGTTAATGATGAAATATAGATTTTATATTTAAATAGATTCGTTAGTAGTAAAAATTGATCAATGGACTATTAAAATTTGTCGGTTATACGATGGTTTGTGGGATTTGCCAGTTGCAAGTCTGCATGACAGTGCCATCGGTGCTAGTTTGGAGACACCGTCTTCTTTTAGCTGCTACCACAGTAGATATTGCAGATCTCTTGGCAGGATCTTATCGATATTAACACTAGGTTTACGGAACCCGTCAATTTGACGGACATTGAATTTTTTAAACATTATTTAGTAATAGTTTAAGTCGATCTTGATTTGTGCAATTATGCGAATACGCGTTGCAATACTCTGGTTTCGAAGCTACAATTTTCGCGATTTATATAAACGAACACGTAGTTCGATAGGAACAATAGAATAAAGTATAGAATAAATGTCCATAAATCTAGTGTTAACCCTTTACCTTACGATTTATTTCTCAATTATAATTGATGCGATTTTTGTAAAAAAATATTTTTAAATGACACATGCTCAAGAATACCGGTATACAAAGCTCCGAAAACAAACGACATAAAAATATATCAAAATTACCAAAACTTGAATATATGTTAATATCTTATTCAAAAAAATCAATATAGTTTATAAACAGAATATAACCGAAATTTCCGTGGCACAATGATTTATTGAGATGAAAAATTCTAGACATATTCCACGTTCATGCTCTAAAGTATAATAATTAATTAGTATAATAATTAATGAATAATATTTCATTTAAATTCAAGAGAATCGAGTAATATTTATTAACCTTAGATTATTAACCCTTTGCACTCGCGGGCTCCGTTGCAGAGCCATTTAAAATTTGTCATTACAAACTGTGAAATTTTGTCGTTAAATATATTATAACATTTATATCTATAATTAATAGAAAACAGTAAGATACATCCATGACTTTTCTCCACATGCGCGTATTATTTATTTATATGTTAATACGCGTTTTCTATTAAAATTCGAGTTGCTGGTAATGTCAGTGAGAAACAGCTTCGAGTTCAAAGGGTTAAATTCTATTTAAAATCTTCACGAGTCTGACACGTTATTATAAGGCAAAGGGTTCAAAATTTCTGTATTGTTACCATAGGTACAGGTACCGACTTAACCCTTTGAGGACGAATATTATTTTACCGACATCAAGTTTTCATATTTCGAATACGAAGTTGTGAACAATTGATTTCTTTATATAACAAGAGATCAGTGATTAGCTTTCTGTCTCTGGCATTTGAGACCTCGATGTAGAATTTAATTCTCTTTTTCAATACTTCGAGAGATCCTTACCCGCAAAGTGTTGAGTCTGCAAAATGGAAGCTGATCGGTTGTCATTGACAGATGGCAGGGTAAGTCACATTTCGGCCACGGAGAAACTGTAGCATAGATTCAACGTGAATATTTACTTTCCCGAGCAAGGAAAATAACGTTGAAAATGTAACGTGAACAAATCTTTAAAGGTCCGTGTTTATAAATTTTAAATGAAAAATGCCTCAAGCAATAGAAATGTTATATTACTGTTATAAGAATAATCATGTGTATATGTGAAATAAAAATTTACCGGAAGAAGCAGGATAGGTAATAAGTAATTAGGTTTGAAAAATAAGGAAGGAGACGATGATATACAAGGTACTTATATTGTTTATAATATTGAATGCAATTTTAACGTGAAAGATATTTTAAAAACTCTAGAAAAGTCTGTTGGGTATTACGACTATCCTGTGTTTAATTCGTCCGTGATTAAATACATAGAACAAACGATGGCCATATTGGGGAATACTTTACGCGTTAAATATTCATTTAATTATGCAAAATCAAAAGGCCATGGTTCACAAATGCATAGGTAACCGACACTGGTAAACACGATATCACTATTTGATTATATTGAATATAGGTATGTTGTAATATATGAAGAAATGAATATTTATAATAAAAAGGTTTAAGAGTTTAAGAGAAATATATAGAATTATTATATAATTAAAGTTTAAAATATTATATTGGAAAAGATATACGAATGTTTCGTAACATAGGGTGCGCTGTTTTTCAATGGTCGGAATAATCATTGCCCAGTCCGTTCCAAATAAAGTTCGAACGAGAGTCGTCACAGTGTGCCTAATTTTCTTGTAAACGTGTAGTGTCAACTATAGTTTTAGCTCGAACCTTTAAAGAAACGTTGACGTACATCCTACGATGTTCCTTGCCCAAAACGTTGTTTTCATAAATAGCCATCAGTTTAATATTCTGAAAACAACTAATATGGCAGTGTATACGAAAAGTACCTTCTGCTCTTATGGCGGATAATGATGTTGATATACATAAGAAACAAAGCTTTCGATATATATAGTTTATAAAAACCCTAATGTCGAAATAATAAGAACGAGCAGAACGATGTATGCAAAATATCAAATATTTGAATGTGTAATATAACCGGAAGAGTTGTGCGACTCAACCGATCGGCCATTGCCGACTCTCGATTGACCAAGTTTGAATCTTGTAACGGTCACGCAGGTAAGTGTAAGCAGTCTTTAATAGAGTATACACGGTATCGTCATGTATGGTATTCTAATTATGAATTCACATCAGTGAAATGTACTTTATGAATATACTTGTCTGTAAATAGATAAATCTAGTTTATTTTTATTACAGTTACTTCAACTTTTTATGTGTTTATATACTTATTCTAATCTCTAATGGAACTAATTGAATTATGACCCTTGTTTCATTGGTTGTGTTAATGACAGTTTTGTTTGGTTGATTTTCACAGAAGGAAAGACGTTAGAATAAACCAAGAATGGAGGATACAAATGACATATTAGTATCTACAACAGAGTTTATAAAAGGTAAAGGACATTTAATGATATCGCAAAATAAAACTTAATCGCAAATTTTAATTTGCATTATAGGTGTTTTAATTAAATTTAAATAACATGATATGTTTTCTTTTTATACGTTTTTAGATCGATTATATTTTGTAACATTGAGTACTATGATAAAGCCAAAGAATACTCCAAACACCCATTATTTCAGTATTGACGACGAATTAGTTTATGAAAATTTTTACGATGATTTTGGTCCATTAAATCTTGCAATGTTATATCATTATTGTCAAAAGGTTAATAAAAAAATGAAAGCAGTGACTTTGAAGAAGAAAAAGATTATTCATTATACAACTGGGGATCCAGAGAAACGAGTGAACGCTGCTTTCCTCATAGGAAGTTATGCGGTAAGATATTACTGAATACTTTAATATAAGAAATATTGTATAATCGGATTAAGTAATAGTGATATACTCTTTAGATATTATATTTGAAACGTACAGCTGAAGATGTATTCAATTGTTTAACCAGTAATCCCAATTGTCCATTTATTACGTTCCGCGATGCTTCTGTTGGTACACCATGGTACCGAATATCATTGAGTGAATGTTTGAGTGCCATATATAAGTGCCACAGACTTGGATTTTTTAATTTTCAAGATTTTCGTGTTCAAGAATATGAATATTTTGAAAGAGTAGAGAATGGAGATTTGAATTGGATTGTCCCTGGTAAATTTATTGCATTTTGTGGACCTTATGCTAAATCTAAAATAGAAAATGGTATGTATCTATAAGAGGTTTTTAGGGTAAGATATGAGTTTTAACTACTTTATTGTTCATATTTCTACAGGATATCCGCTTCATGCACCAGAATCATATTTTACATATTTTCGACGCAACAATGTATCTACAATTATACGTCTTAATAAAAAGATTTATGACGCTTCCAGTTTTACGGATGCAGGATTTGAACACAAAGATCTGTTTTTTGTTGATGGTTCAACTCCAACAGATTCAATTATGCGTCAATTTCTTAAAATAGCAGAGAATGCTAGTGGTGCTGTTGCTGTACATTGTAAAGCGGGACTTGGTAGGACAGGTTCTTTAATAGGATGTTATATTATGAAACATTATCATTTAACTGCTCACGAAACAATTGCGTGGATAAGAATATGTAGACCAGGTTCAGTAATTGGACATCAGCAACAGTGGTTGAAAAAGTATGGATTTGTGTCAAGTATTATGTGCATCAATTAATGTTTAAAATTGACAAGTATGACTAAAAGCAAAATTAATTGCAGAAAAGAACCATATCTTCATTCTTTATTGAAAGAACCATTGCAATCAGAAAATGGAAATACAGTGCACAAATATGGAATTTATTCTATAGTTGGCAGACCCAAAATGGCATTCTTCTCTAATTTGAAAGAATCTCATTTAGTGCAAGATAACGTTTCGGGAATAATGCATAGGGTAGATGGGATTACATTAGATGATCACACTCCTACTGCTGGCACCAGTACAACTAAGTATATGCCTTTGACTCAGGGTGGAAAATTAAACTTAATCAAAGCCAAGAGAAGAAGTTTCCCAACAAACCACACCATCAATACAACTACTAAATCTTCAACAGTTGTGCAGTAAATATTACTTCAATTTAATTTAATATATTTTCCAAGGAAGGAGAATGTTATTCATGAATATGCATTATATTTTTAGTCCTTACTTAAGACCATTATTACAAGCAAGAAGTCAGAAAAGTACAAGTAATGCGTTAACTAGAAATAAAGAAAAGGATTCGACAAAGAAAGTTCTACCTAGGTCCACCACAACTGCTATTGCTAAGAGGTCAGTTAAGTAATTTTGCTTATATAATTATTCTTAACTGCTTACGTTTATTGCTTTTTTTTTCTTTGTTTTTCATCGTTTTACTTTATTTTCTTTATTTATTTTTCCATGCTTTTTTCTTTCTTTAATTTTCTAATACTTCTTATGTGTTCATAACATTTTTTTATGCATTTCGCTTTAGCCACGTACCAAATCTGTTTCGGGTTTTAATATTGCACGTTGTGAAAGTAAATACAGGATCACTATTTTTACTAAAAATTATAGAAACAGTTGGCTGGTCAACAATACCTGTGATCCATCTTCGCGTCGTGTTAAGTCTACTAAACCAGCAACACAGATCCATAATATCAACAACAACACAACCACCGCTACTCCCGTTACGACAATATCCGTATCGAAACCGGTGACAAGGGCCAGTATAAGAACTCCCTGCATCACAGAGACTCGTATTTCACATGCGTCTGCAAATTATTCAGTCTCGCAACCCCAACAAGGCATGAATATGATTCTCAGGTCTGCAGATCGAGTAAATCGCTATCATTCTCTAAGGCAGTAAGTCTCCATAACTGTTACTTTAAAAGTTTTGCCAAGTAACAGTTATATAGCTCTCTTCATAACAATTTCACGACTTCTGCACTTTATTGTAACATAGCTTTATTTTATATTCTCTATAAAATAAGCTCTTTTTCTGCATTGTATTATATACCTGTAATTTAGCTTCTATCCTTTTATTAAAGTTATTATTTAACTATCGTCAAGAAATCTAATACCTCAAGACAAAACAAAACGCGTATGTTTTGTAATTATATAATTTTTAATGTGTACAGTGTAAAAGGATATGAAGCAGTACCAAGGACTTCAATTTAACTGACCACTACTCTAACATGCATGTAGCATGCATTATGTAATTTCCATCTAAAGCATGTAATTACAATTCTTAAGATAATATTAGGCCTGGACAAATAATAGAAAAATCAACTTTGTTTATGAATTTTATATGTAAATACTATCCAACTAACGTAATTCATGCGTGTTATTTACAAAATTTATTGTATTATAGAAATAAAATATCGTTCTTATTAAATTGTATTACTGTCCAGGCCTGTGTCAGCTATGTAAGCTATATTTAGAGCTTAGGGATGAAGTAGCTCCTGAGGTGGCTAACAAAGTGTTCCCTTTTATTTCTGTGATTTGCAGTGCGCGCACAAGCAAAAGTTATAAAACTGCATTTATCAGATGACTAACCGATATTCTCAGTGGCGTTGGAGAGGACAGTCCAGTAATTCGAGCATCTCACCAGCGCCGAAGATCTCACCGCTTAAATCCAATTATTCAGTAAAACCATCTCACTGATCTCCAATCTTCAACTTGAGCAACTATTGTCCATGCTTTTATCATAATCAACGAAAATCGAATATATATATATACAATGGTCCTTATCATTTTTTCAAGGTATTCACTTTATGTTTACACTTGTATATCGGATCATAAGTTTTTCGTGACCTCCTGTGTTCTGCACAGGTATTAAAAGACTCTTCCCTGTTTTGTGATACGTTGAACGTTCGCGAAAGAAAAAAATCAATTTTGATTTCAATTAGTTCCCCTTTATTACATTATCTTTCTGCTGGTCAGAAAAAAGAATTCTATATGAATATTTTTAAATAATTTCTAAAAACGTATATACAACTTTGATTTTATTGGTTTCCATCATTTTTATCCTAAATTTCATAAGATTTTATATTTACGTGTAGATATAATTGAACTTATGATATATTGTAGATATCACGTATTTTCGTGTAAAATAATTTTTTAACACATTAAACGCCCAGCTATTTTTGCTTGCTGTTCCGTTTAGGCCACAGACGGCCATCAAGTTGGCCGCTGCTTGTTTATCTTTTTTTAATCAATTACATTGACGTTTTTATGTTGTATTCTTTTTCTTAAAGAATTAACTGAATAAAAACCGATGTCTCCTAAACGAGATCATTAGCCTCACGATCAGTACGCAAGGACCGACACGCATGCTGTTGTAACATGAATCTAAAATCTGTGGCAGGTCCTTGTGAACCGGCGGGCGTTTAATCTGTTAGACGACATTTTCCTTCTTCGACATTTGTGAAATAATTGTCAACAATTGGATTATTATATGGTTTTAACATTTACAAAATTAGTCATACTTATGTGTCTCACATATAAATGAAGATTATAGCGAATAGAAACTTACAATCATAATGTGCATTATTACTTATAGCTGTGCGATTAACACAATTTATTTGTCTTCATTTAAAATGTAATTTTAAAATATATATTTCAAATTTTAAGTTGAAACAACAATTTATGATGAGCGTAAACTTCAAAAGTACATATAACTTTACATAAATTTGTTGAATTGCTAATCATACTACATATAAATATATATATATATATACAAACATATACAAATATACATATATAAATATAATGTTTTTCTTTTAATAAAAAAAATATTGCATTCATAATGTAATAATGAAGAA